CGATTGTGGCTCCCCTTGGTAAGTGCACTCTCAAGTGATGCTCCAATATGGTAACGCCACCGCAACGTTGCCGCGTAACTTCATTAACGCTCTGCTCCCTTTTCCCCGGTTTATCTGTCGATGCTTCCACCTCTTCCTCCTCCCATTTGGGGTGTTGCATTTCAGGCTCAGGCGCTAAATGCATTTCGTGCGCAGTCTTCTAAGTCTGCCTACGGGTAATATACTCTGCCCGCTCCTCCCTCTACCCACCCAAAGCAAAGTTTAATTAATTTTCCTGTGGCTTTTGGCTTTGGCTTCGGTTCTTAAGTGGTTCTGCTGCTACTCGCACAGCTGCTGCTTCCTCTCTGTGGCCGCAAGTTGTATGTCTTTTTGTCAAAATACTTTGGGCTCGAATTTAACAAATTTTGCCACCCACTACACCCCCCCACACGAAAAAGTAGTTTTAATTTGAGTCGCGCTGTCACGGCATGAGGCATCGCTGGTAGTTCATTAACAGCCAGGGTTTTCCGTGTTAATTGACCGCGTTGCTTTGCCATTTCCATGATGATTGTGCAGCAATATGTACCACAAAATTACACAAATCAAATGCACAACAGGCCAACCCGCCGCCAAAAAAAATGAGGACATGATTTGTTTTTCGATTTGTGAACCGCAACGCAATCAATTGCATAGCCAGAGGAGCGCCAGAGCAGACACAGCTCCCCCCCCCCTTGCGTTGGCTGACAATGACCACAATAAAGCATGTAAGTGGATTAAACTCAACCACTCATTAAATTACGAGCTGCTACTCGCACTCGTACTCGCATGTGCTGCTATGAACAGACCACAGACAGCAACCGCAAAACATCCTTTGACTGCACCGAGTAGCGACTATTGATATGTGCCAATAACATAAATTGTCAAGCGGAACAGAGCGGGGGAACAGCCAAGGAGCACAAGGAGTGAGAACTGTTAGAGAGAGATTCAAGCATCAAGCAGCTTAAAGAACGCGCAAGAATGTGCCCAAAGGAGACCCAAGAGAGTGGTGGAAAGAGGGGACAGTGATAGGTGCAGAGAGATATCGGTTAACGGCGCAAAGCAAACAGAAAGCGAGGCTGCCAGTGGCCCGAGGGGAGTTGGCTCGTTGTTGGCATATCGATTTTAGCCTTTGCCCTCGCTCCGTGCTCCGTTGTTTACCTTCGCTATTTGCCTTTGACCTGTTGTGCTTCAACGCTCGCTGCATGAATATAATGTTTGGGTTTTAGCTTCCCAGCTCCCCAGGGGGAGGGGAACGGACAGCTCTTCTCGCCTCAATTAAAAGTGGAAATACAAATGTCCAGCAACTGCTTTGGATACTGGCTGTTAAAATTTAAATTGCATGGCAAAAAGGAGCAGCCAAATTAATTGTCAGTGCCCCGCTTTTCGTTTGCTGCGCCAAAAAGCCGCAGCGACACCAATAGAGAGAGCGCAATAAAAACTATCTGCGACCCGCTCAGCCACGCGGCTAAGTAGGCAGCAGCGCAGCTTTCGGGTCAGGCTCCTGGAAACAGGCTGGCAAAAAGTAGGCAGTGGTCCGGGTGTCAGGTTAAGGCCGTTCGAGCGCATGGCCCGTGCTGCAGCAGAGATGACACGGTGACCTAAAGGCGACAACAACAACCGCATGCAGAACGCGGCAGAGCGGACACAATGAAAAGCCACACAGCAGAAGCCGTGCTAATAAACAATGGCCAGCCGCAGCGTGGAAATGGGTTGCCACAGGGTGTGGCAGACGCATCTGAGACTTCCTAGTCTCTAGTACTAGATGTTTTTAGCTGTTTTACGCTTTTAGGGCAATTTGGGGACAACGTGGCGTATGCGTGTCCACGGCTGCCTTTGCAGGTGTCAAGTGCCAAGTGTGTAGTTTACCGCAAAGTGCTGTGCCTGCGTGTGTGTGTAAAAAATAACAACAAAAGCGAAGAACATTTCTGCTCATGCGAAAGCCACTGCGGCAGCCATAATGGCAGCCAACAGCGGGCAGGGTGCGGCCCTTAAATTGTTCAATTCTAAGGCTTCGCAGCAGCATTTACGAGCGACAACAAACAACTAATGGAGATGGAGAAGGGAGCAGGAGCTGAAGCTGGAGCTGGAGCGGGAGCTGGCACAAAAGAGGTCGTTAAATGCCAACGTTGTGCCCCGTCCACAGAGCTTCACATACATATTGTTTGGCCTTTGCCAGCAGCGCAGCCAAAGAAAGGCTCTACGCTCTGTGGAAACTTTAGAAAGGAGTGAAAGTTTCGCTTTGAATTAAAGCACAAGCAGAGGCGAAGACTGAGGCGGAGACTGAGGCGTTTCATCGCTTAAAGCACACACAAAACTGGGGACTCCAAATCATACTCATGATGCCTTCTGGGGTCTGGCTGCTGGCTGCCTTTGCTGGCTCTAACTTTGAAATTTTAGCAAGTAATCTGCGCTAAATAGACTTTCCCTTCCCTACTTTCATTTGTAAGCCAACAAATTAATTAGTTTTCAACACTCGAGTTACTTTAAATGGCAATTCGTGTAATTAATTTCGCACACATTGACAGCCGGCGCACACAAGCCAAGTGCAAAGCAAATCTAAACCTCTCCAGTTATCGGAAGTGTATGCTAAAAGCAACAGCAAAAGCAAAAGCGTAAGCCCTGTGCAGCAGGTCAGGCAGGGGCCATAGCCAAAAGCCACAGATACAGGACACACACGGACAGATGTAGATGTAGATGGAGATGAAGAGAGACGTCTCTCTGCAAAGGAAACAATTTTCTTGGTGAATGCGCTAGCACAAAGCGAAGATATTGCAAATACGATAGATACGAGTGTGCAGCTTCAAGTGTGGGCACACACACACAAGGACATCCTTCATCCTGCCCTCGCTCCCATCACTCAAACTGCAAAGAAATCAACTGGCAAAGTCATAAATTTTCGGTTTTTGCCAACTGCAAATTATTTCAGCATCAAGCAGCAGCAGCAGCCTCCATCTACTCCAGGAGTCTCTCTGGCTGTCTCTCGACTAAAAGTTAAGTAATGCAACGATGGCAAAACATGTGAGCAGAGCCAGCTCAGGGCAAGGGCAGAGCCAGCGGCAGTGAAAAATTGTGCAGAAATATTTAAACTGCAATTTCAAAGCGATTTGTTTTATGGCCGAGTAGCTGGCTGGCAGGGTGAGTGAGGGAATTGTTTCGTTGGTTTCTAGATCTCCGCAGCACCCGACAGCGTGGAAAACTTAACTCGGATTTGATGTGCACCCAGCCAGCTGTTAATGCTGCATGATTTATACATCCCTTCCTCTCCTGCAGCTCATTATAAGCCACTAAATCAGGACTGTGGATGTACAGATGAGTGCCGCAGCTACAGCACTTCGTCACTTGAGCATTTTTTGGGCAGAGTCCAGCGGAGTGCTGCACTGCCACTTCCGCTTCCGTCTGGCGGTCATAAATTCTCCGCTTTGGCCGCTTTGCATGTCCTTTCAGTTTATTATTTTATCGGGAGCAGCCGCTGCGGTAGCCCCCTTCCCCATGCTGCCTAGCTGCCAATTGTCATCGCCGACTGCGCCGACTGGCCTTGTAATGCGGAGTAGATCCTGGCCTGCTGGCGTGTGCAAAATGATTTGTTTGGGGCCGCCGACTGCAGTGGGCCTTTGGCTACTCTTTTTTTGTTGCTGCTGCTGCTGCGCGATAAATCAAAACTCAAACACAGACACAGCGCAAGCCACCCACTAAGCTACCCAACTAACTGTGGATTACTCTGTGCCTCGTGCACTAGTGCGAAATTAGAACTATTATATTTATAGCGCAAATAGTCCGCACATCATTCCCACTGCGGTGGGGGAGGACCTCCAGGTAAAAGCCAAAACGGTAGCCAAAAGGCCCATATCCACGGAGCCATTAGACACGCCTGCCAGTCGCCGGTTTGCCCGTTGCCTGTCTCTTTCCTTCAGATGTAATAAAAACATAAAATGTTGCACATTATGCAAACAACACACACACACACATGCACAGCACATACACCCACCCACCCCCACACACACACATTTAAATACACAGCCAAAGGCAGGGAACTCGGAACTTGCCGCAGCGTTGGGAAGATTTCAGCTTTGACGCTGGCGCCGCATGTCTAACGTTTCGTTTGCCATTTACATACACACCCACAAGGACACAGCACACACACACACACACACACACACACACACACACACACACACACACACAGACAGACAGACACACGTAATTGTACCTCCTGCTGGGGCCAAGCAAAAATCCAACAAAGTCTGGCACTAGGCGCTGCTCCTGTGTGTATGTGTGTGTGCGGAGAGCACATTAAATTTATTTGAAATTATTATTATGCGCATTTACCTAACATTTGCATAACCGACAGTCGACGGTCGCTCGCTCTGTGGGCCAATTTGTGAGTAAAATGTGGAGGGAGAGAGTAACTGGGCCAACAACAGCTTATAATTTGATTGAAAACTCCGCGCAAGAAGCTGGCAATCCTTCATTCTCAGCGTCATCCTTCAGCCACCATGGCAGAGCCAAAGGGAAGCGATTTCATTTGCCATTCGAACGACATTTATCACGCCGCGGGACACACTCGAATGCTGCAAAAATATTTGTTGTCAATTTTTAAGCATTCGCTTAATGCTTTAGTTTATGGCTTTAGTTTGGCCAACAGACATAAATAAAGTGTGGCGAAAAAATGAGAAATGGAAACCAGAAAAACAGAACAGCAGCAGCAGAACAAAAATTGGATTGTAAAAATGAAAACATGGCGCATAAATTACCAACTGGCTGTGCACTAGATTTTCCTGCCAGCACACATTGGAAAATTGTTTTAAATAATTAAATGCTGGCTCTGCACTTATTTACACCATTTAACCCAAAAGAGAGACCAGCACACAGGCTGTATCCTTGCTGGGGCCGTTACTCTCACATTAAACACAGCAAAATATGCAGTGCACCAGGTGCAGCATGTACGTAGTTCTAAATCATATAAATATTGCGCTCTCATGTCTGTGGTTTTCCCCTTCCTACAATCCCTGTGGCAGAATGTAATCCAAAGAGTAGTCTTGCCTGCCCATCGCTCGCTTCTCGCTGCCTTTGTGCTCAAAGCTAATGTCAAACTCCAAGCCGTAAATGCTCTTCAGGCTGGGCTTCAGACTGAATACCCCTCGTATGAGCTGTTCCGGTTCGACGGTCAGTGGAGAGCGCAGATGGAAAACGGTCTGGTTCCAGTGGGTCCAAGGGGCATGCGGCGACGTGCTGAGCCAAACGCGCCTTGGGTACTGCCCCATGCCCACATCGAAGCAGGCGAAGAGGGCGGGAACGTGGCCGCTGCGCGTGACCTTCAGCTCGTAGTGGGTGCGCGTGAGGCAAGAGTAAGGGGTCGCCGTGTACAGGTCCAGCGTTTTCACCAGAACGACCTTGCTCATCAGCTGGCGTGCATCGAGGCGCTTCAGCACGGCGGTGCCCTCGCAGCGGCGACGAATGGCCCCCATGTTGATGTCGTACAAATCGTTCCACTGCTCGAGGTCCTCACCCGCTTGACCCGAGATGGCGCCCAGATACAGGTGCGCACAGTCCGGATAGATTAGTCCCCCAGGTGCCAGCCACTTGTCCCGGGCAAATATCAGCGATTCGAGCATGTTCCCCGAGAACAGGCAATAGCTGCGGATGCCCAAGGAACGTGAGAAGTTAGCAAAGGGGAAAAAAGGTAAGAGAAAATTCTCTTTTTCGGGGCAACACCTACCCCATCCAGTCGCAGAGTATTATGTCCACCTTCTCAATGCCCTCGGGCAGCTCTATGTCCTCCACCTTGCCCCTGAGAACCGTGATGACATTCGTGTACGAATTGTCCACAGCGATGTGGCGTGTATATTCCACAATTCTGGCCGCATCCACGGCTATCACGCGGCGTGCACCCGCCTCGGCTGCCAGCAGCGACAGCATGCCCAGGCCACAGCCCACATCCAGGACAGTCTTGTGGGAGAGGAGGATTGAGGGGTGTGCTAATCAGTGGGCTGCTTGTCGCTCACCTTGCCTCTGAATGCCGCCTTGTTCCAGCCAATGGCCTGGCGGTAGGCCGCATTCCGAGCGGCATCCTTTACCAGCCACTCCTGCACCTCGAGCCGTGAGTACATTTTGTAGTAGAGCTCCTGCTGCACTCGATAATCGCGCACGCAGTCGCCAGTTGCCGCATTTTCTGCTTGGTTTTCCATTTGCTTAAAGTTTGAACACAATTTTCCAACGACTGAGAACGCTGAGAATGTCAGTTTGATTTGCCACAAAAATTCATTTAACTTTGAAGTTAAACTCAAAGCCAACCTGATGGCTGCTTATTGGCTTTCTTTTTTGCTAGTTTTTTGTCATAATTAAATCCTTAAATGTCGGTACTCTCCTCCGCACACCCGCACGGGCATTAACTAATTAAAAATCTCATTAGCGTGCATAAATCAGCGTTATGCAGAACATAAATTGTATTATTAAGAGTACAAACCCGGGCAGACGGAGCAGCGGAGAGGCAGACCATCGCCCTGACCTACTGCCACGTACAATGTGGACACAATGGACAGCGGCACAATGGATAATGGAGGCAGGACGAATGATGATGAGATGGCGAAAGAGATTGCTGCGAGAACGGGGTCGCGGTAAACAGAGTAGAGCAGGGAGGATGGATGGATGCCGGGCATATCATCGTGCTGTGTGTCCTGCCTATTCCTTCGCAGAAAAAACAATGTCTTCGTCTAGTCTCTCGTTTGCAATTATGGCCACAGCCAACAGCCACAGCTGCCGGACATTCCCCAATTCGATTGTGGCAAAGAAAGAAAAGTAAAAAGTGAAAAGTGAAAGATGCCGCTGCCAGGCTGCTGTTGAATGCTTGACTTAAGCAGGGCACAGCAAAGCGTGAAAACATCATAAAGATGAAAAATTATTATCTTCCTCTACGGTTCGTCCCTGCTGGTGTGGGCTGGGGCTGCGTTGTACAGCATTTAGCTGCTCTGAATGAAATATCTCACATCCTGCAGAGGAATAAAAATCAGCGTCGGTAAAAAATACACATAAGAAATAAGCAGGAAGCAGTAGCTCGAACAGGAAAAGATAGGACACACACAGGGAGAGGGGCAGACCGATAAACGCTCGCAGCGTCAAAAGACAATGACGAGGCAGGGTCCGGGTCCGGGTCCGGGTACTAGGTACAACATCTGGGGGGTTGGAGAATATTAAGCCGAGAGCAAATACAAAATACAGAAGAAAAAAAGAATATAAAGCTGCCTGGCTCCCAGGGTTCTGTGTATCCCGGCATCAAAAGTGACGAAAAATTGTAAAAATAAAATATAATGGCAAAGGCAAAGGCAGTCTTTAGGCTGCCTCCTGGACGTGGGCGATAATTTTTTATTTGTATGCCAGCCGTAAGCTAAAGGCAGCCAGCAGAAGGCGGCATCTAAAGGGGTGAGGCAGAGCTACAGACAGACAGACAGACAGACAGACAGGCAGGCAGGCAGCAAACACAAACACTTTGCGGCCATTGCCGTCAAGCTGCGCGTTATCCTTTGTGTAATTTCTGGTTTAATGAGGCGACATTGGAATGGACTTGCCACCGACTGACTACGACACGCTCCTGCCATAGGTAAACATTTTTACACTCATACATTTTTACGAGCCGGAGCATTAAGTTAAAATTTGTGTTAAATATTTTATTGTTTTTATGGCCACATGAACACCTTGCAAATTATGAGTTACCCGCAGTAAGGGCAGCTAGCAGATCAGAGACAATAATTCAAGCTCTGTCAGAGGACACTTTCTTGGCCAGGCCGAACACGTTCCGGGATTTTCCCTACGGACAGTCTCAGTCAACGTGTCCGCTGCTGTCTGTCCGCGTGCGTGTGGTCATTAATAGTTGTGCAACCGTTCCCCACCCATTCTCTAGCAGGACAAGGCAATCTTCTCTGTGCTTTGTTCGTAGCACAAATTGTGATTTTGGCGATTATGAAATTGCCAATTAGTTGGACAGGTCTCAGGTCTCAGGTCTCAGGTGTGTGTCCGGCTGTTGGAGTGACAGCTGCAAAAGCTTCAGTCATGCCCTGAAACGAGTCGAACATATGGCACTAAACTTCTTTAACCTTTCAGGACAGCCAGGAATATGTTTGGTAGACGCATAAAACTTACGGTTACGATCCAGGCACAAATTAGTCGATGCATCAATGAAAGGGAACATTTATTCCAGAGCTATTACTGGTCCTGCCTCGAGTGAATTATGATTACGGATGAGGGCGGATGGGTTTATGGCAGTATTTCCAGATTTATTGCAGCTAAAAATCAACGCTAATATAATGCATAAATCAGGCTGCTTAAGTCAACATATACTGTTGCCCGAATTGGGCATAAATACTGCACCAAGTACCCATTCCCAAGCCTATCCTTGGGGCTCCGACTAGATACGACCTGGGTGCCCTGGCCTGTAAACCAAGTGAAATTCAGCGAAAAACGAAATATTTTTGGCAACGTCGGAGCTGCTCGCTGAAGCTGTGGGTTTGGGGGTGTAGCATTTGGGGCGGCATCATGTCTCCGAGAGAGCGAGAGAGAGAGCGCGCGCCCTCGTGCAGGTTAGGCGCAGGCGCTGTGTTCCGTTCTGGCTCTCCGCCTTCCAGTGGCTTCGCTCCCAAGTGGAGTGCGGAGTTTGCTCTTCGTCCAGCGTCTGCAAGGGAAATATTTCTGGCGAAACTCTTCCTCGCAACTCCACTCACAGCAGATGTTTGCTAATTAAAATATTGCATCGTAGGTCAAGGCATGAGAACTTTATGACTTGCCAAAAGAATGGACAAAAGGTACATCATCATCGGCAGTACATGGCCTGAGGCTGCTGCACTGGAGAGTGCAGGGCAGGTAGGCCGCTGGCAGATGCTGTACAACATTCCCACAGCGGGGCCATAATTATAAAGCCATTTATTAGAACGGGAGAGGGGAAGAGAGACACGAAAAGATCCAATTATCTGCAACGACAGGGCACTGTTACGGTTCTACGGCTACTCAAATAGAAATACACCGCGCGACTGGTGCTTGGCGTTTAACACATTTCCACATGGCTGAAGAGTTGTTCCCCTACCCCTGCCACCGCTTCATGCTGGGCTTTCAGCGCGTCGCGCATGCGCCTGCCGCGTTTTTCTGTGCGCCCATGGCCCGAAAGCCAACTTCAAGTCCAACTTTAAGCCGGAGTTGCAAACGAGTTGCTGGCCAGAACCCCGCACACAGCACAGAGAACAGAAAGCTAAAAACTGAAACTGGTTTTTGGGTCACTACGTAAGGGCCGGCCGCCCTGAACAGGTAAACTCCAGATAATTATTCAATGGGACAGCGAATCGAGGCCTCTCGCGGTTCTCAGGCTCGCTCCAGAAAGGGCATGCAAAGCCAAAAGGGTTAAAGCGAGCGGGAGAGAGAGCGAGATAGCGAGAGAGAGAAACCCGAACCGCATCCCGAACCCGACTGTCCAGACAGGTTAGCAGCAGCAGCAGCAGCAGCAGCAGCGGCGGCGAAAGGTGAGCAGCGTATAAGAGATTACGATTCCGTCTGCTCTTTGCGCACGTTCTCGCTCTCTCTCACTCTCGCTCTCTGCTTTACAGACTCTCTGCTGCTTACTCTCCGGAAGTTGTGGTGGCTGCAATGCTGGCGTCGCGCCGTTCATAGGCGCTTTATTCCCTCAATATTCCTCAATTGTTATTCTGCGGCATCGTACGTGAGCGCGGACCGAGAAAATCAACGTCGAATCTCAATTTCAGTCCGTATCTGAAGCTGAAGCTGAATCGCACACAGCGTTTAGTGAGTGTCTCTTGTGTCTCGGTTGTTGTAAGTGCTCTCCTCCCACTCTTTACCTGTCTCTGTCCCTCTGCGTCTGTGTCTGTGTCTGTGTGTTTGTGTGTTGAGTTTGACTCGGAAAATTGTACAAAAATATGGATACGAAATTGATTAATAAATTGCGCTGAAGCAAAAGCGATTACGGAGCGGCAATCAAGCGGAACCCAGCCCATGGCCCAAGGGGTGGCTGCACCCCTCGTGAGTGTGTGCTCGTGCGTGCGTGCGTGAGTGTGTTTCGCGTTCAATAAAAGCGAAAATCAAAATGAATATTATCATGGCAGTTACAGAAACAGAATCAGTGTCAGAGCCAGGACCACACCCGCGCGGGTGCACAGGCTAAAAAAGAAAAAAAAAAAAACCTACAGCCGCTGTAGGAGAAAACCCAAAAGAAAAACAGCAAAAACAGCAGCAGAGTTCTGGCTCTGTAGAAGAAAAATTCCAGTTTCGTAAGGATCGCAAAATACGAAGAGAGAGAGAGAGAGGGAGCGCGCGGGAGAGCGCACAAGAGCGCGAGAGAGCAAGAAAGTTGCTGCGAGAGTTGACTGGAAAGAAAACATTAAAAGGGGAGGGAGCTACATAGCTGGCCTGCTGGCTGTGGCAAGGATTTTCGCGACAGTTGCGCAAGTGGACATCAAATTCCCGTTATTATGGAATTTTCACTGCACGAAAAACCGTTACGCATCAGCTGTGCTGCGGCTCTGCGGAAGTGAAATGACATTGAAAGTAGAAGAAATAAATCTCAGAAAATCTGGATAAATGCTGCCAAAAGTATGTCCAAAATTCGATGTGGCTTGAGCAGAGATTATCCCGAAATTTGTCAAAGAATTTGAAAGTTTTTTCGGGCAGTCAAGAATCGAATGGCCCAAAAATAAAACCCAATATTTTGCTGCCCTGGAAAACTGGTACTCACTGGCCACACGCTCAACCCCACTCTGGCGCTCTATGGCTCTGCCCCTGTGCAGCGCATTTCCAGCTCTGAGAGGCAGCAGCACGAGGAGCTGCCTGGCTGTCGACAGCCAAACAGTCGCAAGTCTCGAAACGGCAATTGGTGTGGCGGTGCGACGTGTGGCACAGCTGTGTGGAGAAGTACTAGCTAGCTGATAGCCTACTGTGATTTTCTGTGTAAAGGGAGTGGAGCTCCAAAGAACAAAGGCAAAGCCAGCAGGCGCCAGCTCTCGCGCGGTGTGTGGCCATGCTAATAAAGTGTCCTCTAATGCCACAACAATTATATAATGTACGGTAAAACTCGTTGAGTTGAGTTGTGGCAGTGGCGGCGGCGGCAGCAATTACAAAAGACAAAAGGCGTGACCCTCGCGCGCCCCAATGCCGCCGCATGAGTCACGTGTGCGTGTGTGCCTCTGTGTGTGTGTGTGTGTGTGTGTGTGTGTGTGTGTGTGTGTGTGTGCCAATAGGACATCAAAAGTGCCAGACAATCGAAAAAACAATTGAGGCCCAAAGCCTCGCGATTACAACATCAAAAGCGAATAATTCTCGGAATAATTTTCCTTATTTTTACGCCATATTGATTTTATTTTTGTTGTGCATAAAAGCCGCGCCTCTCCCAGCCTCTGTGTGTGTGTGTGTGTGTGTGTTTATGTCTTATGTTTTTGCCTTTGTTCTGTCCTGCCATCAACCCAAAGAATAACATAAAAATGCTCCTTCCCTTTTGTGCTGCAGCAGCCCCACGTAGAAAGTCAACGGCTACAACGGTTTCAAAGTCCTTCGTCCTTCATCAAACGCATAGCCAAGTGAATGCTTGAATGCTCGAAGGGAAAGTGTCATAAAGCGTGCGATTATCCTGTAAACAAAGTGTAAAACAACAACAGCAGAGAGTCCACCAACCCCCCCAGCAGCCAGCATCAAGAACAACATTCGATCCGCAACAGCCAGGAGTTGCTCCAATAAAACCTTCACATTTGGAGTGCATGAAAAGCGGAAAAGCGGAAAGAACAAAAGCAAACACTGCGGCATCATAACAGGGGAACAGGGGAACGAGCACGGACACGGGCAACCCGCTGTCGGATTGGAGGATTTTTACGACCTGAGCAATCAATTCTGCTGAGTTCTGCGTTTTGCTGCTGGTCAGGCAGGGTAGGAAGAGCCCACCCACCACCCATCCACCCCACCAACATTGGACTCTGGATCTGAACACATCGTATAATGGTTGCCCAATTGAGGTGAGTTCAAAATTTCAATATGCGAACAGACCCGCCCGCGGCTCGACTAAAACTCGACTAAAAACTACTCCGCAGGGAAAACATCAACTAGACAGGGGTGGGAGCTGAAACACAGCATAAATTGCCAATACTCGGACTGAACACAAAGCAATCAAATACGCCCGACGACCGGGGGCTAAAATTTAATTACAATTTATGAAATTTTCAATTACATTGGACCAAAAGTGTAAATAAGTGCGAATGCGAGAGCGTTGGGGCATTATGGCACAATTCAATTACAAAATATATATTTGAGGCCAGAAAAAACACACGCACACACACGGACCAACAAAAAACAACCACTAAAAAGTGGGCCAGAGCCAGAGCAAACGTCAGGGAAAATGGAAAACCAACCAGAGAGAGACAGCGAGCCATCCCAGGCAAGTGCAAGGGGAAGCTTGATTGGTTTTGTGGCTTTGGAGGCTACATCATGCTCCTCAGCTCAGTCTGCAATGATATTGAGACAGAGAGAGAGAGACCGGACAGATGGTCAAATGCAATTGGAAATGCTCGTAACGAAGCAACAAACATGTGTAAGCGATGACGGAGACTCCGACAAAGGGCCACCAGAGTTATTAGTGGCATCTGTGGATATGGATCTATGGGCTCAGGAAATTGAAATTCCCATAAACGGAGACACAAAACACAGTGCAAAAAGAGAGGCAGGCCAACTGCGTTTTGCGCTTCACTAAATGCTCTGTCTCGGGGTCTCTTGTTCTATCTTTGCTCTGTCTCTATTCTGTTTTTGTGTCTCGAGCAATCATTTATTCGAATTTCCACTTTCCGTCGCTGGCCGTGGCCCCAGGCCTCGAGATTTCCAGTCGGGGATTTGTTTTGGGGCTCTAATAATGATAAATGAAAGTGTGTCGCTCTGATCGATGATGCGTCCCCAAAGCAAGAAAGCAAGAAAGTAAGAAAGAAAGGATTATATTCCCCAGACATTTGCACTCAAACGCAGATTTATGTGCCGAGCTGCCGCCGAGCTGCTGCTCATCAGCAAATCGATTTCTTATTACAAACAAAGTCGAAGTTCCATTTTACTTTACATATGAGGAGTGGGCGCCTTGCGTGACTGCTGGCTAAGGTCATATGCAGAGTTGGAGTCAAATAAAAAGCCAAAAGCCCGAGTCAAAACGGGTTATGGGCTATGATGACGTCGCTTAGCTACACAGCAGTCTCCCCCCTACATAATGATAACGATTTTTTCCCACGAATGCAGCCAAATTGCTGGAACAAAACATAAACAATGCGAGAAAACTACAAACAAAGCAGCAGCAGCAGGGGGGGGGGGATTGCTGGTCTCCGCTGGTCACTCGTCAGTCAGCGAGTCTGCTTTAACGCGCTCAATTATGTCTACGATTCATTGGAATTTTGCTAGAGGCTGAAGCTATGCTCTGCTCTTGGGGCATCCAATAAACCAGAGCAAACGATCGAGCAGCTTTGGGTATACACACACAAACAGAGCGACTCAGAGCTGTGGCCAAAGTTGGCGCCCAAAAAACTACAAACTGGCGCACATAATGAGGAGCGCGAGACCTGCGACTCTCAGCGCTGAAACTTGAGTCCAAACAACACACAAAATAAAAGCCAGGCAAACGTAGAAGGCGTAGAAGTTTTTGTTTTTGTTTTTGGAGGCAGAAGTTCAAGACTTGGAGATCGGTTTACACTGGAGTTTATGTATCGCTCTATGGCTTATGTATCTCTCGCTTATATACAGCATCGTCGAGCGTATAAGAGAGCGCTCGGACCACGACTTGACTGCAACTCGAACTTGTTTTTCTTTTGCAAAGCGACTCCCTCCAGACTCCGATAGATACACAGAATTTCCTGCAGCAGCCAGCCAGCCAGTCGCTGCTCTCTGTGTGTGTGTTGAGAGTCTCTGGATGAAAACATAAAATGCAATTTGCTGTCGACGACGATCTTTCACACATATGAGACAGGTACAGGTAGCTAGGTAGCCAGGGAAACCATTTCAGCAGCAGCAGCAGCAGCAGCAGGGCTTCAGCTGTGCTCTCAGGTCGAGTGTTGCACCCACAAGGCAGTGGCACTGGCACTGGCAGTGGCAGGGTGCATGGCTTTGCCTTTGCTTTTGTTGTGTTTTTACACTCCATTGGCAGTGAAGCGTTAAAATTGACCCAGTTGTTGATTTATTTTTACAGCTCTGCGAAAACAGGGAGTCAGTCGTTGGGGCAGCCATGGGAAAGGGTGGCAAGGGGTGCAACTGCAATATGAAAAACAATGCCCGAATTTTCGTTTTTCATTTTCAATTTCTCCATTAATATGCATGAAGTTCGAATTTCTGAATATTCGAACGGGAGAGCCAGCCAGCCAGCGAGCACGATTTGTGTCTCGTTTCGCTTTAAGGTCCGTCAGCCAGGCAGCTGCGGACGGGCAGGCGGCCGTGCACGAATGCATTTTCAATTTGCTGGCAAAAATTCCGGCCTGCAAGCAGAGAGGGAATGGCAGCAGGCAGCACAGGGACGCAGCAACTTTGCAGTTAAAGTTGAAAATTGTTTGCATTTTTTCGCTTGCGATAAAAAACAATAAGTATCTCCCTGCCACAAGCGAAGGCTACAAAGTACTGTCAGAGACAACTTTTGCAACATGCCCCTCTGCCCTTGAGCGTGTCTCTGTCCGCTCTTTTAATAACTATGCGGGTTCTTCTTTTGTTTTCTTATGGCCCAAAACTTCTGGAGCCGAAGGGGGACAGTGCTAGCAGCGGAATGTGAAAATGTTTAAGTGGAAAGCCAGGCAAATTAAAATATTTCCATACAGCACAAAAAATGCACGGACTTTTCAAGTTGGCAAAAAGAAAAGGGAAAACGTCCAGAAAAAGAAGTCACAGGGGTGCCCGCCCGGCCATAATGGTTAACCAATACCAAAAAGCGGCCACAAAACGGGGCCCAGTCTGCCCTCTGCCCTCTGCCCCTACCCGTTGTAAAGTGTTTCGGTGTTCATTATTTCGTAGTGGCCATTAAAGTAATTTGCCACACTTGTCGCCGGCCATTAGGCCCCCATTAAAGCGCAATCAGAAATCTTGCTACCCCCGGCCGACACCCTCTCAAAGCAGGCCTCTGCTTGACCAGCAGTTGCTTCACCCTTCGCCAGTGCCACTTCGATGCTCGAGTATCAATTTGAACAACGAAAAAGTTGCCAAAGTTCTCGATGCACGAACCCTTTTTATTAGTTTTGAGATATCGACAGGAGCCCAGCCAGTGTGGAGGCAGCGAGGACCAGCCTTTAATAAGGACATTCAGGCCACAACAGCAAATAGTTCAATGGACTCGTCAAAATGCTCTGGAAAAAAGGGAGGCAGCAGGAGCGTGTTTGCTGGCTTGTGTGCGCCCTTTTGTATGAAACATAAGACGCAGCTTAGTCCCAGTCCGCAGTGCCGCTGAAAAATCAATAACCTGCCAAAGTGCTGCTCGCTCGCTCTCTGCATCTGGCCTGGGCGAAACTGTTGGCCAAGTTTGCGCCAGGCATTGCCAGCGCTTCGTTGTTTTGTTTGCTTATTCAATTTCGAGGCTGATATGCCCCATTACAAGGTACAGCACATGACATATACGTAATTACGTTTTGAACCACCCATCCACCCATCCGATTGCCACTTTAAAGCATGGAAATTTATTTATTGCATAATGGGAAAAGTTTTGCACTTCAGTCATGATTTTGCCGCGCTCCCCCCCACTCCCTTACGGCTGCTGGTCGCCCTTGCTCTTGTTCTTGTGCTCCTTTTCTTTTCCTTTTCCATCTTCTTCCGCTATTCAACATTCAGCAGCATTTGATGCAGCGACCAAAAGACGTGCGTAAACAGGGGTGGAATGGCAGGCAGGCAGGCAGGCAGCGTCGACTCTCGAGTGCTAAACTTTTTGCCCGAATCCCCGTTTGGCTTTTTTTCCCGCCGCCCCTCTTTCCACCTCTGCTTGAAATCAACTTTATGCGAGCGGAGAGAAGCGCCAAGCAAAGTTTATGGTCATGTCCGCTGCTCTCGAGGAGTCGGAGCGGAGTTGGGGGTGTGGGTTGACTGCCTGAATGGATGGATGGCTGGCTGGGTGGCCGTTCATTAGCGTTGCCATTACATTTATTTATTTTTCTTCCATTCCGTTCTGTGGAATGTGTTTTGCGCCACCCCGTTACAGTGCGTCCGAAAAGTCAGTGGAAGTTAGAGCCGCTAAAGACTAAAGAGGGAGTCCACCCACCCTTTAGTTAGTGTGAGAGCTTTAGTTTTAACAAGTTTTAAAAAAGTTAAATGAGAGACACAAAACTTCATATAATAAGTGAAGAGGCGAAGAGCTGCAAGGCAGAAATGGCTGGGGAAAGTGTACGGTAATGAGGGGTGCGGGGTGGAGGGCCAAAGAGCTGACAGCTTCTATAGAAAAAATTCTATGTTGCACGCATGTCTGCAGTTATTAGTCGACCTCAGCTCACAGTCTTCTGCCCGTCCTGCAGCCTTCAATTTGTGGTGGGCAAAACTTTTTCTGAAGCACTTTACGGGGATTTATGTGAAAGAGACAGAGCGCAGCCCCCAACCCCTCCTTGACCAAGTCAAGAAAATGAAAATGAATAAAGATACAGCGGGAAAAAAGAGAAACGAAGACAAACCAAAAGATGGAAAAGTTTTGCAGGGCCCAGGCTAAATTTTCACATCCGCCGGGGTCCTGGCTCTCCCTTTTGATATTTTCACTCGTCTTGGGACTGCATAAATAATAACACAAACTTTTATTATTAATTTTGCTTAATCGAAATGCCGCAATTAAGCAGCAAGCATAAAACTTTTGCTCGTTTTGCTGACTCCTTTGTTCAGCATTTTCCTTTTGCTCTGACGCGCAGCCGGAACCCTTGGCGGCTCTGCTGTTACTTTAGTTTTTGGGAAATATTTGTGCCCAAGCCCAAGTGAGACTTCAAGTGCGACTCCGAGTGTACGAGCAAAATATTTTCTAACTTAAACTTTTGCCACAAAAAACAGAGAGCAAAGTTTTGTGCAGTTTCGTTTCAGAAATTGTATTAACAATTTAATTGCTGCAAAGCTGCTAGCCACGCCCCTCTGTAGCAGCAGCATAATTGTTGAAAATTGTACAACGAATAAGTGAGAATCATTTGAAATAAGAAATTGCAGACGTACCGACCGTGCAACTTTGTGCGCCGTCATGCCTGCCGCTGTCATTGTGCTCCCCCCGCCTGGCCAATACACAATGAATGACCAATAAATAACTCTGCTCACACATGGCCCGTCGTCGTCAAGTGAAACAATCCATTATGGCAGTCAACCATTTGGAGCCGCACAAAAGCCGAGATGCTGCTGTGTCTCCGTAATAAATGAATGAGTGAATGAAAATTTGTTGCGTAATGGGGGGCAAGCCGATAAGAAAGTGAAAACTAAATGAGACGGCAGGCAGCACACACACACACAGACGCAAATATATTGTAAAAAGTATAAAACGAACGGACAGCAGCACAAAGCCATTGCTCCGACTCATTTCCTGCCCACAGTCCCCTCCCCACACTGCCCTTCCTACAGTCGGGCCAGCCATTAGGTTTGCGGGCCCATTACGGGGCCCTGTTCTTGTGCCCTTAGACTGCGCACAGGAACCCGCAAACATCCTGTTGATGTCAGCAAATTTTATTTATTTGTGGTTCGTGTTGTATTACAACATTTTAGAGCAATTAAAATTGTACAATGGCCGAATGCTCGGGCCATTTTGCATGGCCCAAGCACGAAGCCCAAACATGGCCACAGCTCTTGGGTCTATCTGGGCGCATTTTTTTGGATCATTTAACGCTAAAGTGCCTAATGATATATTGACTTTGCTGCTCCTGCTCCTGGCTCCTCTTGCTCCTCCTGCTGTTATGTTTCAAACTTTCACGTTTACTTTCGTGCCCCGCCCTGCTAATGGGCCAAAGTTTTTTTTTGTTTGGCGGTGCACAGAGATAGGAGAAAGGATAGGTGGAAGGTGGAAGGTGGAAGGTGGAGAGAACTCATTAGATTAAGTGATAGCATTCCGCTTTATGGCCATATCTTGGCTGCCGAACATCATTGGGAAGTTAGTTGGGGGCCGGGAGGCTGCGTTTTAAAATAATTGCCGTAGATTCTGGACCTGCTACGGGGGGCCATGGCTTGTCGAAAAGGGGATAAGGGTTGTCAATGCAAAGCTGCCCCGGTCCATTGTTATGCAGTTGGCCTACATAGGAGTTTTCCCCTCTGGCCCACTGCTGCTGCCTTCCCACTGCTGGCAACTGCCTCCCTTTTGCTTCTTTGTTCGGGGGCATTGTTGCTGTTGTTTCAGCTTTGCTAACAAGCTTACTGCCAGATGGCTTAAGGGCTCATTCCCCCAAATGCTAGCCAGAGAGAGAGAGAGAGAGAGAGAGAGAGAGAGAGAGCTAGCGAATGGAGCAGGGCTTTCCATTTCATTAAAGTTTCAAGGCGTACAACAACGCGGCGTATGAGTGATACTAAAATGTGGAAGAAACAGCAATCCCATGGATTCTTGGAAAATGGGACACATTCTGTGGCACTCGACGACCAACTCGGCTCTCCTTGGCCGGGACTTGCTGCGGCACAATGTGCAAAAGTTGTAAAATTTGTTAGGGACACACACAAACATACATATATGTGTGCTCCAGCAGGACCTGTCGAAATGTCTTGGGGTGTGGCAGCAGGCGACAAGTAGCATTGGTCGAGTGGCCACTCGCACTTATTGGAGTGCCAATGGGCGCTGTAGCGAGTAGCGAGTAGTCCTCCTAGCGACTCCTTGCCAAAAGATTCGGGCATTTGGGGGGCCGCAAGTTGTGGCGCACAACATGCTTAATTAGTTTCTGAATCCCAGGCAGGACCAGCACCACGACCTGACAGGATTTGTGGCTGCCAGGAGGAGGAGGAGTACTGAGGGTTTTTAATTAAAACTGGCGCTGCCCTTTTCCCTTTCCGCAGTAATGCAAATTAGCGCCAAGTAGCTGCCGCGTGGAAGATCATGCGGTGAATCCTGTGTGCCGTGTGTGAAGTCAACCAAAACAGCTGGAACCTTTACTCCTGCTCCTGCTCCATCAGTCGTTGGCGGTGACGGAAGCGGATGCCATAAAGTGCTGCCGCCGCACCAACAGCAACGACAGACAGCAGAGCCGAAAAATAAAATGAAAGCTCCACATGCGGATCTGCACACACAGTCACACACATTTTAATGACAACGACGTGGCCGACAATTCAGTTATGGGTCTCATGGCACAGTCGCTTACGCCCCCCTGCCATAGACAAAAACAAAGGACAGCCAGCAGCGGCAGGACCTGTGACAGTAGGCTGGGTTGTCAGGCAAACCAATCAACTGATTTAGTGCACGGCACATTCACATCTCGATGGGGCCGCATCTCATCCGCCTCGTTGTCCTCGTCCGGCTTTGCATTTGGTTGCTGCTGCTGCTGTTGGGAGGTCGTCTGGCTACGTGTATCAGCAAATGCAATTCGTTTGCTGATTTGTCCAACCCCCTATCGGTGTATCTGTGGGGCTGGGGCACATTATGCGCTGGTCGAGTCTCAACTTGAGCTGATTTACAAATGAAATCATACGCCATGGCGGGCATTTCGGTAATGAAAATTCAGCCATAAGGGAAATCATTTTTCCGGCTTTTGTTCTATTTTAGTTGGCTCTGTGTCGGGTCCCAGCATCCTGCCTGACTTTGGACAGGGAAGAGCAGACAGCGCCGCAGAGTTAATGCGATTTTTGCTGCTTGCTTGTTGGCTGCCTGACTGACTGACTGACTGACTGACTGACTGACTGGTTGGTTCCCTTTCTCCCTCTCTGCCTGTTTGGGCTTTTAGTTTTGTGGGAGCTGTGGGATTCGAGTACGCTCTATAAATAAATTTTCCGTTTTAATAAACTTGTCATAATGTAGCAGCAGAAGCAAAACGGAAACTTTTAATAACGCTTCACAGAAACCTTGAACGTTATTAAAATTTTACATGTCATGCCAAAAAGGATTAAAACTTACGCACACACACAAGGCAGAAGGAGGAGTGAGCGGGAGAGTGCGGGAGCAGGGCTGTTGTGGCTGCTCCTGCTGCTGTCTGTCTTCTTTTGTTCTCTGCTGTCTCTCCCCTCTGGCAGCCTGGTATTAAGTTTTGCATTAAAATGACACTAATGACGTTTATACAGCTCCGTCAGCCACGGAAATGTAACTTTTCACCGCAGAAGCCAACTAAAAGAAGGGCTCCTGTGATGTTCCTGCCTTTTCCTGTACTTTTTTTTTGCTCAAGTTACTTAATTGCAGTGACAACACACCAGTGCCAGCAAGGGCTTTCCTTCCTCTATGGTAATGGAAATGCTTACACAAATGCTTTGCTTGCAATTTAAAATACACGCAGGGATCTCCTGTCTGTCTGTGGGTTCCTGCCCTGCTCCTTGCTGCCTTCAGTCTGTTTCCCATTTTGTACAAATTAAGCGGATTCCGCTCAAAGCATTCCATTCGCCGAATAATTTAATTAAAAACACATTTCTTGCTTTGTTCTCCACTCGCTTTTGCACCTTCAATTTCTTTTGGCTGCATACCTGTGGCCAAGTCATAAAACACAGCGACTGGCAGCGGGCTATGCCACAAATTCAATTAACAATGCAACAGTAGAGGGGCGCCACCTCCCAGATCTCATTCCTATAACAATGGGTGTCTTCCCCCCATCTCAGTGTCTCGAGCGACACGAGTTTTACATTAAAACCAAAACTTTTATTGCCAAACAATGAGCAGCAGCAAAACTTTGTGCTATTTGTATAGGAGAGGGCAGAGCAAAGCCTTCGCCGCGTAAGTTTCTGTCGCCCAATCTTTGCTAAGTGGTGGGCTGATGGGTGGGTGGGTGTCGCCTTATCAGTTCGTAGTTCTACAACATATTAGCTGCTTAATTTTACGGACGTGTGTGTGTGTGTGTGTGTGTTTGGGTACAGGACTGTTTGGGTGTTGAAATGGAAAACTTTTGTTTATTAATTTGTGTAAGGAGCGTTGTTAAAGTTTTGTCGTGACCCGAGATTTTGGTCTGTCATCGTTGCCAGAGATTAATCGTGGAATATTGCAGTCTGTAGATGGCCAATGTCGGTCGATGTCTGTTGACACTTGACGCCTGACGCCTGAAGCATGATGGATGCAACGATGGCTGCCAAGTGACAGCTTCATCAAGTGCAGCCAGGTGCCAGGCTGCAGCAAGACATTTACTCACTCTGAACTCACGCTCTCCTTTTTCGTTACAGATGACGCCACTGCCACAAGTGAGTAGGAGGAGGATACGTTAGTGGCGGCGGCATTGACTATGGGAACAGAGGCATGGGCGTGTGTGCGGACCTTGGGTCTCATCGATGGTGTCGGGCATTGAGCCACAGCCAGCCACCAAAGCAGCAGCAGCAATCCTCAAACAGCTCTCCAGCAGCAAACACAGCCACAGCCACGATTATAGCTACCACGAAAACGGCTGCATTCACAGTGAAAACAACAACGAGAAGAAGAGGACGAAGACGAGTAGAAGAAGGCGGTGACGAGAGCGAGAACGAGAACGAGAACGAGGAAGTGAATGCCGCCAGATCGAGTGCACTCTTTGCTAGCTGCTCAGGACCTGCCACCAGATCGATACAAGTTATCAAATTTGTGTTGATTTCGTTGCTTTCCCTACTAGCGGAACATGCACAAACGCACAACATTCCAGGTAAGTGAGGTCCTAAATGAATGCAACTGATTTCCAGACGCAGCTTAATTCAATTTCTGGCTGAGCAGCGACAAAAATTACAGTAAAAAAGTGATAAACGTTTTTTGTTGTACTTTTTAAGCCCCAAAAGTCCTTGAAGTACCACTGATTGGAGTGGGCGAAGGAAGTTACAGAAGAGGGATAGAAAACGGACTCGAGTCCACTCCAATCTAATGCCCGTTGTCCAGCCATGTGGGTAGATTTTTATGCCGTGTTCAGGCAAAATTTAATGGTGCACAATAAGCGGCTTACGTGCCGGGCAAAGCAGATTACATTTTGGCAATTAGTTGACAGTCGACTGGCTGACGGACAGACGAAAAGTGCCACTCAATTCGGTTTTTGGATTCACATTCAGATTCATGCAGCGTCATCTGCCCCCGGGGGGGGGGGGGGGGGGGGAAAAAAGAGTGGCATATGAGTGCCTGTGGTGTTCGTTTTTCCCATCAAAATTCCACGAAAAATAAGAGTCCTGCGTAGGCGGCGTTCTGTTGAATTCAATAAGCCATTTCCCATCCCCACCCTGCGCAGCACATTACAAGTTGCTACTTTTCGTTCGCTGCCGCTCAATGTACCGTGACGTGCCACGTTCTGCCTTCCACGTTCCTCGAGTGAATTAATTCAATTTAATTTAGCCGAAAATTGGAAAAACCGCTTGAGATTCCTTAGCCTTCGGCAGGCTGGCAGTCAGGCAGTGGCCATGATGGCCACTTTGCTGCACGGTCGAAAGGTCAACTGCTTGCCATTGGCGGCAGGGTGGCTCTGGGGCGTGGCAGGCGCTAGAAAATACCGAAATGAGTTCCCGGAAAAACGACTCAACTTGGCTTTAATCAATGAAAACAAAGTGCGGCGCTCAGTCGCTGCTGAACTCGAGTGCTCGAGTGCGCTCCGCACTGAGTGCTGGCAGAGTGGAAATGTCTGCCCTGTGAAGGACATTCTAAATGGAATAATGAAACCACTTTTGCATGTTAACGCCATCAAAAGGCGCGACAGACACACGAGGGCGACACTGACTTCCTGCTGCTGTTGCTGCTGCTGTTGCTGTTGCTACCCTCTAGACTTGCGACATGTCTGCAGCATTATCAAAGGGCAATAGACGCACAAGTGCGGCGACTCTACGCTTCTCATTTCCATCATCATCATCATTATGAGCAGCATCCTGCTATCCTCATCGTTGTCGTTCTTCTCCTGTTGTTAATGTTAATGTTTCTTTTCTTTTTTTTTGGGAGGAAGCAGGCTAGGACTGGGGCGTGCTCTGGAGTGGCGTTGCAAATAGTCTGCCAAAGCTGCTGGCCAAGTTAACATAAATTTATGCAAATGCCAAAGTCAACAAGCGTGCAGTGCATAAAACGAGCCAAAGAGCAGGGCACGGTGGCTGCGACAGTGGCCAGGGACAGGGACAGTGGCAGTGGCAGGGGACAGTGGGCCGACGAGATGAATGACGGGGCCCGGCTGAGTGAGTGACTGGTTAAGTGTCTAGTCAAGAGTGGCTAACAAAGACGTCATGTAACCAAGTCCTGACAGGCTCGCCCCCGCCCTCGCCCTTTCGCTCGCTCCTAGCTTCATTTTCCCATTTTCACACTGCAAAGAAAATTATGCAAAACGCATTAAGATGATTTTTGCTGTTGCCATTGCTCCGCACCCAATCAGAGCAAGCTCTGGCACATATCCACTTCCACATTTGATTTCGATTCAGCTGCAGAGTTGCCCCCCCCCCCCCCCCCCCCCCC